CAGGTGGTCCCCGGGTTACAAACGTGTTCCGTCCTGAGGACATTCGTAAGTTGGAACACATTGCAAAACAATGTTTAAAATCCCACTATATCATAGCCTAAGTCCTTACATACATCTAAAATCACTTAATTTAAGACAAAAGAAAAATAGAATGACAAAATACAGTAAATTAAAGTAAAAAATAAGTCATCAGGTAAATAAAATACTGTCCTGTCAATTTCAAGTTTAACCCCGTTCATATCAGCAGGCGTTCGTAAGTCTGGGACCTCCTGTATGCCAATGTATAATACACTGCAATATTATTTACTAAGTGTTGATGACATGTTGTGGTAAGCATGAAAAATGGAGAGGCTGGCAAAAAGACATCCTTTATTGAGAGGATTTACTGTACAGTACAAAATAATAGAAATTATTTAAAAGTTTTCCCCAATTATTTCCATGTAATATTAGGTGCTCAGCATTAGAAGGGGGTGAAGCGACACCCCGGCCAAAATGCGTTTTTTGATGGATATCGCTATTTTCACCCTTCATCTGCATGTTGGCGTTGTATGTAACCCTCTAGCTAGAATAGAAATATAGTAGAAAATCCTTCAAAAATAAGGCGTGATTTTGCCTCAGGCCTGGAGCTATGTATCTGGCTGTGCGCTCAGTCAAAGAATATGGCAACATCCCGTTCAGAGCGAGAGGAGCGCGGGCCAATGACAGCACGCCTCCCTCGGACCATACTCCCTGAGCAGCCAATCACAATGAATTTCCCTTTGGTACGTCACAGCTCCTCGGTCAATCCGCGCTCCCTGATGCTGTCTCCTTGGTAGTTTTGGCACGTTGTATAGCATAAGGAGGTTCAGTGTACTTTCTACTGCTATTTTTTATAGCTTTTCAGCATAACATTGACGTTATTCGTGTTCCACGGGTGTGAGAAGTGCTGTGCAATATCTACCCAATATTAGAGCAAGACTCGAGTGAGGCCAGGCCTTCTGGTGTGGGCTCAGGAGCCTATTATTACCGAACGTTTATTCAGTGACGACAGTGCTCACGTGGGCACCCCAGGAATGATTGGTGATAGTGATGATGAGTTTGGTCGACTCATAATACAAAAAGTGACTGCTGTGCATCACAAGACCTTTTTGCAGACTGTGTTCCAGTACAGAGTTATGTGACATGCACTAACGGCAACGATGAAAGTGAGTCTAATTGTAACACAAACAGTGACACTAATGTATCACAAGAAGAACATACAGACTGTGAGGAGGTAGAAGTGGACAGTGATGAGACATGCATTGACCTTAATAGTGATGAAAGTGAGACTGACCCAACGAATGCTAGTGAAAGTGAGCCCATAACTCAGTCTTTTAATGAAACTGAACTGTTGCCGGCATCAATAATAATCAATGATTTAGTTGATGAAGAATCTGTGGCGATTGTTAGAGAGTGCAGAGAAAGACTTTGATCAGTACGTGATTGATTATGACGAGGCCATTAAAGTTATGCGCACTCCTCAGGATTAACGTACCTTCAAGTTACTACGACCTTTAGGTATAATAAAATGAAGGAACCAAACAAAGTAAGATTGTAATACCAAAGATTATGCAAACTTTCTCCGCCTTTGTATTCGTATGTTAATTACTTTGGGGATGAGTGTAGTGGTGTTTCCTTATTATTACACACTATTATACTTAACAATATTATAAATCTTTGGCTAATAATATGGAAGGAAAGATAAATACTGATAGGCAAATGAGTTTTTTATTATTTATTTTATTTTTTTATTATTATTTTGGGGTGGGGGGACGGGGTGTAAGACGAGTGCTGTGTTTGGTGATCATTAACTTGTTTTACAGTTTTAGCCCACAATAATAAGAAAATTTTGCAGAAAAACGCAATTATTGTTGGTTTGAAGATCAAACACCAATACATGACGGGTAGTTATTCTCATTCAACTCATTATAAAATAATAACTATTCACAGTACTAACTTCATGTTTTCACAGTTCACTAAGAGAGGGATTGAGCTGCATGCTAAAGAAAAATAACCCTCTGGCTTAAAAATTTAAAAAGTTATGGTTGTTTGAACTTCAAAAAACTTTAAATGCATTTTTCTCAGCTTTTTTTAATTTGGCGCTTCACCCCCTTCTAATGAGGAGTGCCTCATATGATGGAGCATCTTGTACATGAGGTAATGTGCATAAGAGAACACTTTTTCTCTCTGCTAATTTATTATCGTTCTTCTATTTATGCATATATTTTGATTACAATTTTAAAGCTGTAGAGAAAATTTAAATCTTCAAAGCATAAGGTACTGTATGTTATTCATCCAAGTTATTCAAAGAAATGTTTATTTGATCAAAAAATAAAAGTCCTTGTAATTGAATTAATTTCCTTAAATTTTAAAAAAAATAGTGGTCCATATTATTTAGAGCATATTTTATCACTAAATATATAAACACTTTTGAGTGATAATGACTTGGTGAGCAGGGTGGCTAGGTATACTTGGACCACAAGGGGTGTAGCTGCCACTCCAACCCTCAGAATATTAATTCAGTGATAACCGTTGCCAGGACAGTAGAAAGCCATTTAGTGTTTAATATGAAGGCTAAAAGTAATCAAATTGAGCTATGAAGAAAGAGGACCTGGGTGTGGGAGTTGATGATAAATTATCATTTGAAATATGTAGATAAAGAAGTAAATAAGATGAACCACATGATAAATCTATTCCCACAAACATTCTCACTGCACTTGCCTAAAATTTTCTTGAAACAGCAGATAGTTAAAACTGGAAACCCTGGTTTAGTACCAGTAATTAGAGGAAGACACCCCCCCCCTACCCACTAAGGATCAGAACCCTCAAGGTTCATAAACTTAGGATGCTGATGAGGTCCATAACAACTGAGATAAGTAGAGCACCACACAGACTAGCCAAACCCCTCTTGGTCACACTTAGGTCAGTGAGCAGTGCTCCTTTAAAGAACCCTTGTGATTTAATAGAAAGGCAGCTATCAAACTGGGAGGTACTACCGCCTGGGAAGATATTAGAAGCATAATGTGTTGTCTAATGGTAGACCCTGCTGCCATATGGCATCACAAAAATTGTGACCAAGTCCCAGGTTGCTGATCTGACTTTCTGCCTCATTTACACACAATTGCAGGGTCTCATTGTTTCTCTTACTTTGACAACACAACATACATACAGTATATCATTTCTCATTACAGGGGGTATTGATATTTGTATTTTTCTTTTTCTTTTATTCACGGCTCTTTATCATTACGGGGTATTATTATTATTATTTATATTTTTTATATTTTTTTTTATTATTAGTATTTTCTTTTATTATAATTGTTATTTATTTTTAAATACCTGTACATGTATTGTTATTAATTTTATTATTCTTATTCTTATTATTATTATTTTCTTTAATTATAATTGTTATTTATTTAATATATTTATATTAATTTTATTTTTATTATTAATATTATTATTATTATTATTATTATTATTATTATTATTATTATTATTACCATTATCATCATCGTAATTATTACAGTATTATTATTATTTTATATTATATTCCCCGCCTTGATGTGGGTCAGGCAAGCAATAGAAAATCATGAGGATAACGATTTATATAAATTTAATAGAAACTACATGTAATTGGATTCATTATGTGTAAAGTTCGGTGATTTGACGATGAAGAATACAGACAGCAGAGGTCTGGTTCCATGGGCTTGTAGTGGATACTCTCCCCTACAACTGCCGACTGATCACCTGCCGTTCGCTTACCAGCCAATCAGCTTACAGCCAGCGACGTCGACAGACTAAGTCTCAGGTACGGACGTAGGGGTACGATCGTCGACCTAGCTTGGACCTTCCACCTTACGCCCAGGATCAGCACACCAGCAGTCTCACGGGTACTGCACAGTGATTGGCCCCGCACAGTTCACACCTCGCGTCTCTGATCCTAAGCAGCTGTATAAATACGCGTAGGCCTGGCTACGGAGTTCATTCTACTCTACTCTCCTGAACCAGCAAGACCTCTCAACAAGCGCCTCACCAACCAGCTCCCTCAACAAGCTCCTCACCAACCAGCTCCCTCAGCAAGCGCCTCACCAACTAGCTCCCTCAGCAAGCTCCTCACCCAACAGGACCTCTGAGCATGCTTCTTACCACACAGCAACTCCGTAGCACTGCACTGTACATACAATATATATACAGAAAATGCATTGTGAGTTTCTATTCTACTTCCATCCTGAGTGTGAGATATCTTACATGTACGTACGTATGTGAGCCCATACAAAGAGATAATAGACAAGCAAAGAGAATTTGACAACTGGCCACATACAGTACGCTACAGACTCACCACTGTGTTGGCTTGTCTCTACAGCACAGTACCTTTACTATGGAAACCCTTTTGTGTGACATTATGTGAATGAACAGGAACAATTTATGGTAGGGGAGAAAGAGCATGGAAAAATACATTCTCTAAATGCATTGAGCATGAGAGAAGGCCAGGCTGCTAAATTTTCAGGACTGTACTACAGTACAGTACTTGTATACAGAAAACCTACAAATGGAGATGACTTTACTAAGCAATATTATACCTGTATTGTACATTAAATTAAATTTTAGTCAAATTACATGTAAAATAACTTTATTTATACACACTGGCCATGCAGGAGTCTTGTGCATAGAGGCTCGAGGCACCAATGAGTTGGCAGACAATTTTTTTTGCCTAATTAAAAATTAAATATGGCATGCTGTAACGAGGCTCTAATTTTAGCATTAAATTACCTCATCGCTTAACCAGGATTGATATATATACAGCTGCTCCCCAGCTTAGGACGGGGTTAGGGACCCAAATCCAGGTCGTAAGTCGAAAATGCTTGAATAATACATAGAAAATCTAAAATGGGTGTCTCTTTTTCTTCTCAGCACCACAAAACTCTCACTTTTAAGCTTGCCAGTCATTTTAAAGTGAAGCATAATTTATTTTATTTCTATTACAGGTTTCATAAAGGGCAGGCAGTAATGATTGAATGTAAGGATGGTACACGGTTTAATGCTGTCCTCACTGTCGCAGGAGCTGACGTGGTAAGCTAGCATTTGCATTATTTTGGGCTCTATACCATCATGTTTACTTCTTCATATTACCTTTCCTCCCTCTCTCCCCAACTTAAAATGCAAATGTACTGTTGTGATGCAACTAACTCAGTGTTTTGGGATAAGTTAGTTCAATTCAATTCAATTTCAATTGTTTATTCCTTGATCGAGGAAGCGGGATCCTAGTGCTGTCACTAGGTACCCCTGTACAATGACACCAGAAGCATCTGGCAAGTGTGACAAGTATATACAGTATAAATATTATAATGGGGCTTACTAAAGCCTAAGGAAGGAAGGATATTCCTTTAACACATAATCAATATTATTTACAAAATATCTGGCCAGTATGGGGAGGATCATCGTGTCTCCGTCAGGGGGTCGGTATAAGTTAGTTTGCTGATATCTGTTTTGGAAAAAGTCTTTCATTAGGGATCTTCATAATAAGAAAATATACTGACAACACTTGAGTGGGTTTGCCTCAGGTTTGACATACAGTATAGATTTCTTAGTACCATGCAGTGTGATATGCTGCTTTTAGTAGTGTTCATATTTCAGAGAATAAATCCAGTGTCTCAAACAATGTATTGTTTGTCAATTGTGCTACATTTAATTCTAGAATTTTACAGTTTAAAAAATGCCAGGCTCATGCAAATCTTATATTACTTGCTGAAGTTTATGGATTGAAAAACCATGCCCCTTTACCTTGGTGGTTAGTACTAATGGAGTACCGGTACTGCACAAGGTAATTAGTTCAAAACTTCTTACGTAACAACCATAGCTCTTTAAAGAAAGGGGTCATAGAGGCATCTACTGCCATTTAAGACTAAGTGGTGAAGGGTCTTGCTTTCTTACTAGCCATGCACTCCGTGACATTCACTTTGTGTGATGATAAACTGTCTTCAACTAGTTGTGCAGAGCCAGCAGTGGTATTCCTGTTTACAAGTGTGTAACAATACAGTTTGAGATGAGCTAGTGTACAGTATTGATATGTGGGACCACACAAACCTGTTTAGTGAACAAGTGGTATGTAAACAAGGCCAAACATGAGCTACTATTGACAGCAGTGCTGTTGTTTGGGGTAAATGCTTCCAAAATTAGAGCAGCAGTTTTGGATGATGGATGAATTATTAGATTATAATTTATGAAAAGTTAGTCAATGATTTTTCAGGTATTGGATGTTTTCAAGTTAGAATTTTAGAGAAAAAATTGCTTCTGTATTAAGAATTTTAAATATGGACGATGTATTGTATATGTGATTTATCACACTTGCTATTGATTAATGTAAGATAAGACTTACAAGTACTTCTCTATTTTAAGTGCTTCATTGCAGGTGAATCATGTACAGTACTTGGTGCAGGTTAGACTGATCTCAGTTTGTTAGCGTTGGAGGCTCTAGACTCTTGGATTTTAATTGGCGTTTTGCTCAGCCATAAGGAAAGGTTATGAGGTGTGAGTTTTGGGGACTGGGTAGGAGTACTGTGATTCCTATGGAGACACTGAGGTCTTTCTTAAACATAATTAGAAAATGATGTTTCTAACTTAGAACTGATTTTATTGACTCCCATGTTAACATTTCTTCTGTTTCTTTATTTTATAAAAGAGGTGTCATCAAAATTACCTTCATTTGACAGCCCATTTCAAATAGAATTTTTATTTTTAATAAACTATTCAGGATTAGTTGGGTAAAAATGGTGTTTCTAACTTAATTAGATACTGATTTTATGGACTCTGATATTAACATTTATTGTTGTTGTTTTTCTTTTACCATAATGATTTTTTTTTTTTGACAGTCTTGTAGAGAATTTATTCAGGAGCACGATTAAAACACGCTGTGAATAAAAGCTTATACACTTTTTGGCTAGCTGTACCGGTAAATATTTTTGCTTGTGCCTGCAAAAATGTACTGTAAAGGGAGAGTTTCTATCCATGAGAGATACGGTAACATGATGAGCGTAGTTTAGAGTCGAGGTGAGATGCGCAGTTTAGAATCTCTCAGACTGTCAGAAAATTTTCCCCAGCACCCAGAAACATTCTGGGGATGTGGGTTGATGTTTGTCTATGCAAGATGTGTAGTTTAGTCGTGCAGACACCATCTCCCAATACCCGGAAAAATTCAGGAATGTGGGAATTTTCCGGGTTTGAGAGAGCCATCTTTTTACCCAGAAATCTCTCATCCCCGGAAGAATTTTGTACCAATTGTTCCGGCTAATGGGGATATCACTGTATCTGTCTGGCTGTACTGTTTACAGCAGTCGAGGTAATTTTCCTAGTGCTTTGTATAATATTCCTAGAGTCTTGAAACTTATTTTGTTGGGAAAGTCATTTTTCTCTAAACACATTCTAAGTTCACTCATTAATTTAGATCTACAGTACACACTTAGCACTCTTCTGAATTTATATACTTTGAACAGATTCATCAGTTCATATTTTCCAGCCAGAAATCTATTTCTCAAACTAAATTGATGGAGGCACATTTAAGGTTTTTCCAATACAATAGATGTGTTGTATGTTCTTCAAGTTGTACAGTCCCTTCACTAGTGTGTTTACAGTGGCTCGTCAGGTTTTGTGCAGTGTGACAGCGCTGTGTTTGCTTACATTAGACAGAAGGAAACTCACAATAGCAAACATACTATGGAATCAAAGTAAAACAATATTTATGATTTGTGGGATGTTTATTTGATGAGCCCCTGTAAATGCACTCGTAAAGGGGACTGTACATGTCTTGAAAAATAATAACAAAAAAGTTATATTTATTATATTGAATAACTCCTTCATTAATTATATGCATTATCTTACATTTTGGACATTTATTTTTGCTCTTACATACCTCAAGGTGTATATATGGTTAATGACCTGAATTTACCAGTACAATATATAAGTAAGATTCTTCACACATAACTACAGTACTTTAAATGCAAAAGAGAGTGAGTAAGAATCATATTTTTTGCTAAATAATTTCCATTTCCCTTTACAATTCAGTTAACTAAGACGAATGCATCAGAAACACGAACAAATGACAGAAAAAGGGTGAAAATTGTGTGTTTCAGGCACCTTTGTTAAAGTAGAAGACTGCTTGCCAAAAATTTTTGTTTGAATATGAACACTTAATTTCATAACTTGTGCTCTCTTCAAATTGTTGGTTCTCCATATATCAGCTTCTTTTATGTATCAAATTTGTTGTTTACCACTTAGAAGTAAGATGTCCCAATGGAAGTAGTTACGTACAGTTCATTATTTGTACACATTTTACACTTTTATAGTTTATGTATATGATTATGCATTCATACAAGGATATTTTGCAGATTATGGTAAGAAAAGTACCTGATAACATACGTCTAAAGATCACCCTTGCTCAACTGGCTCATGGTAAATATCTCGTCCGACGCCGCAGTTCAGCGTGACCAAGGGACAAGAAACTCTTTTATGCTCTTGAAAACCAAATTAATGTCAGTCCCCACCATATTAAGAAAATGCTTTTTTGTAATTTGCCATAAAGTGATTGTGTTGCTCACAGACACTTTCTCCAGGTGTTCTACTAACAATTGTACTATACAATAAAATTTTGATGTTAAAAAATACATGGAAACCACTTTTAATATTTTACCTTATAATTTGCCCTATACAGTATACATGTATGTACTCCTTTTAAACATCTACTAAATATGACAAATGAGAAAGAGGCATAATTATCCTGTGTAGGTCATAATGGACTGAATAGTATTGTAATAAAAGAGGAAAAAATAATAAGGGATGAGAAGATGAGAGCAGCAACATATAAGATCAAGAAAACTAAGCACAAATATTGGATGTAATAGCTGTTGAAATTAATTTGTGAGAGAATAAATGACAGCAGTTATCTAATGGGAAACTATTGAATCCTGTCTATATATTTTTAGTACAAGTGAAGTGTAATTTAGAGATGGTCAGGAAAAGGGAAACCAATTTCTAATAAAAATTAATCATCAGGAATTTCTATCAGCATAGTTATATATATATATATATATATATATATATATATATATATATATATATATATATATATATATATATATATATATATATATATATATATATATATATATATATATATATATATATATATATATTCAGTAAAGCCTCGAATAACGACAGTAATGTGTCCTCCAATATTGCAGTGTAAGGTGAATTGTCGTATCATGAATCATTATTACCATTAAAATAAAGCAATGATAAAGAGATGCATTCCCAAGTGTGACATTATCATATTTATATTGTATAAGGTGCATTCATAAACATTATTTAAGGAATATAGTTTGCACTTTTCATTAATTGTATTGTTTTTGGGGGAAGGGAGGGTAAAAAGCCACACAAAAGATATGTGTGGCTTTTACCCTCCTTCCCCCCAAAACAATGCAATTAATGAAAAGTGCAAACTATATTCTTCAATTAATGTTTGTGAATGCACCTTATACAATATAAATCAATAATAATAAGATCACACAAGAGGAGATGGGACGCTATTGTTGTTGTCAGTGTTTACATCCATAATGTCAGTTATCCATCTGAAATAAGAAAATAAGACACTGGTTGTTGCTAAAGTAAAAATAATGTAAAAAAATATGTACCCGGTATGTTTTAATTAATGTTATCTAATGTACAGTAAAAGTAACCATTGATGTTAAAGAAAAAATGAGTGATAGTGGAACAGCAATGTATACTTGCGCCCTCAAGGAAACCTCGTCATTTATCTTAAGAATATGTGGGGTTATGAGATATTGGTTCACACTCAGGATGGGATGGAGAAAGGAAACTCACAATGTGCTCACTGTATACATATTGTATTGGATGTACAATGCAGCTTGGTGCTGGGTAGGCAGCATGGTTACAAGCATTGAGTAGAGAGAGCTGGTTGGTGAGGGTACCCAGAGGAGGGCACGCAGCTTGAGGGACGCCAAGGTCGCCGGCGGGAGCGGGAGCAACCAGGTTGGAGCTGAGGAGGAGGTGTTGCTAGCTGGTGGCCGTAGGTAGAAAGAGGGTGGTCACAACGGGGTGAGGTCTTATAAGGCGGGGGTAGGCGTGGGTTGATAGTTGACCCTCGCTCCATTAGGCGGCGCTGGAGGCGTAAGCTGGGGAATTCGAAAAGGGTCGGCTACTCAGCAACAAACGGCGTTTCTAGGAGAGGAATCCACTACAGCTCCTCGCCCTACAGGACCTCTGAGCAAGCTACTCCTCACCTAGTAACTCCTTAGCACTGCACTGTACAATAATATATATACAGAAAATGCATTGTGAGTTTCTATTCTACCTCATTCCTGAGTGGAGATATCTACATGTACGTACGTTTGTGTGCCCATACAAAGAGACAATAGACAACTAAAGAGAATTGACAACTGGCCACATACTGTACGCTACAACTTGAACTCGCTTGCAACCAGTCTCTGGAACCCCTTTTCAACCCTTCTACATTCTGACTTTGCTTGGTTCCTGGGTCTTGCATACATCCTCCTGCCCTGCTCATCGTTTGACCTAACCCAAGCCTTGAATTTCTGGGTTTTCTTCTTAACTTTGTCGACCGCTGCATGGTTCATGTGTATGGTTCACTTTACTAGATATGATATTCAGCGTAGTGTTTGTGTTCTTATGCCTTAGTGAGTCAAGCCAGTTAATACCCCTCATCCTGTCTTAATTTCCCTTGTAATGTTTGCACCTTTGCCTGGTTTTGTCGTAAACTAAGTAACAGTTAAATCTGAATGACAATATTACATGGTGGCTGGTGCCAACTGGGGCTAGATGTTCCAGTTTGGCCACCGTACCCTTCTTGTTTGTTATGGAGGTCCAGTGGCTTGGGTGTTTGCTCCCCTCTGTAATGCGTCGGTCCTTTAACATGTTGGAACAGAAATTATCTCTCAAGAGTTTCTACAAAACGAGTAGCTGGGTTATTTAAGTCATTTGGCGTGAACTCATTTCTCCACTCGATGTCGCCATTGTTAAAGTCCCCCATAATAAAGGAAAAGTAATCAGAGACGTGACCGATCGCCCCAGAGGCTAACGAGCCGATCACTGGCGAAGAGGATAAAAGTAAAAAAAAAAAGGAGGTTCCTAGGGTTGATCATCGCTTCGTTTTCTAGGCTGCTCTGAAGTTCCTTTGGTTTGGTAAGCTACAGTTTGGGGATCTGTAGAGACATCCGACAATAAATAAATCATATCCCTTTAATTTGTAAAAATAAATATCTACACTGTAGTGGATTCCTCCCCTACAAACGCTGTTTGTAGCTGACGAGCCGACCCACGAATCCAGCCGCACCTCGTGGTCTAGGTCAACCAGCGCAGCCTTACATGACGGAGGTCAACTATTAATCCACGCCTACCTCCGCTATATAAGATCTCACCTCGTGGTGACCTACCTCTTTCTACTCAGCCACCAGTAAGCAACACCTCCTCCTCCGCCGCTACCTGGCGGCCCTCGCTCCCGCCGGCGAGCATGGCGACCCGCAAGCTTGTCCTCCTCTGAGCATCCTCACCAACCAGCTCTCTCTACATCACGCTTGTAACCATGCTGCCTTCCCAGCACCAAGCTGCACTGTACATCTAATACAACATGTATACAGAGAGCACATTGTGAGTTTCCTTTCTCCATCCCATCCTGAGTGTGAACCAAACATCTCTACCCCACAACATATCCACCCATCTCTATTTATCATCATTTTCACACGTGTTCTCTCTTTCCAGTACCCAAATTTTTGGATATATATCAGTAACGGCTTTTGTTGACCTGTAAATAGATAGATACTGTATACTGTATATTAATTGAAATTATCATACAAGTTCATATCGGTTTACCTGTACTATACATAGAGTATAACATGCAAATGACAAACAGTCGATTCAACCAAGTTTAAAATCTTATTTCTGAAATTAATTTAAATGGTCATGCATAAAAGCGAGGACATTAATCCATGATTTATACGAGGAAACAAAATGGGTAATAAGTATACTAATACCTAATGTATTATACCCAGTAAATGTGTATAAATGTATGCATGTATTTTATGCATTTTAACCCAAAGAATGTGAATAAAATCATCAGTATTGCAAGTTTCTTTACTTATCCAGTGATCAATTGCCACGTATAACGTCCGACTAATTACAACTTACTTCCTGTAATAGAAAGACCAAATAACCATAGCGAATCAGAACATCGAGTTTAAATTACTTCACTTTATTGTAAACATAGACTTAGAGATTAGTGTAATATATAAGATAACTGTTGTAATAACGCGGTAAGATTTGCATTTGTTTCAATGGAGTTTGTTTACAAGTTTTGTTTATGTGTGGGGATAACAGGTGAGGAGTAGTTAAGGTTTCAGTGTGGGAATGTTTAAGTTAGGATATGGACACAAGTGTATGTATAACACAGTTTAGAGGTAGGATAGGAAGGAAGGAATTGGGGTTAAAAGAGATAAACGTCATAACCAAAACGTACTGGATATTTTGGGTTAGGGTCAACTCGTACCCAAGATAACTCGTACCCAACTCACGAGATAATTCGCACCCAAAATTACTTACACCCAATTCAAGAGATAATACATACCTATTCGTATATATACCATGCATTTTAGCTATATCTATGATTACAAAAAAAATATGTAAATTTTGTAGGAAAGTGCAGTGAAATAGGGAAATGTAATGCAGCCCTTTAAAATGGTTGCATCTCATTACATAAGTATGCTATTCCGTCACACAAACATTGCACTACAAGTACATATTTCACACTGTGGTTTAAAATAACTTCATTGCAATTTACAGATTTCAGGCTAATAGATTTGGCAGTTTCAATTTATAAACTGGGCGATGTAAACGTTGAAAATGGTCATAAGTCAACAAAATATAGACATGCATAAAAAAAGATTGATTTTCCAGCTCCAGCTTTTTGCAAACAAATCAGTTAGTACAGTATACAGTATATAATTTGGAGTGGCTGACATCGTAACATCGTCAGGAATTTCTTCTTCTGATATGTCAACGTCAAGAATGAAATACAGTAGTAACAAGGATATAAAAGAACGAAGAGTGAGAATATTGGCCAACGCATATGCAATTAGTTATGTTATTGTATGTTAATGATACTCTGGATAGATTTGTTTAAAATGTCACTACCACACGAAAACAAGACCAGTATGAGTAACGTAACGACTTGATTATGTGTCAACTGATATTCCCGTTCTTCCTATATGGTATATTTATATATATTGGTATGAACTGTCTCGTAATTGGGTATGAGTTGTCCAGCACCCGGATATTTTGCCGTGACTGGCTTAGTTCCTGCTAACGCTATTTAAACGTCATAACCAAAACGAAGTGGATATTTTGCCTTGTCCGGCTAAATTCCCACTAACGCTATTTTACTGTGAGCACACTCTGATTGGCCAAGTACTCTCTGGGGGTCTGCCTGCTAGGAAGTTAGGTGAGGTTAAGTAGGTCTGTTTGGTTGGTTAGGTCAAGTTCTATTAGGTTCTAATAAACGTCGGTCCGACTAATTACCCAAATGTACCCAAATGTAGCTGCAATGAAGTCAAATAATGGTCCTACATGAATAAATCGGACTGCCAATCACTTCTCGACTAGTATTTGGTGTCACAAAGTCACCAAAAATTGGAAAACTTACTTTAATCTGAGTTAATAGATCGCGTGCATGTACCGAGGGAGCGAGTAATTACCCATTTGTACCCAAATGTAGTCGCAATGAAGTCAAATGATGGTCCTACAAGCGTAAATCGGGCTGTGAATCACTTCTCGATTATTATTTGGTGTCATAAATTCACAAAAAATTGGTGAACTTAATTTAATCTGAGTTGTGTTAGGTTAGGTTAGGTTAGGTACATGCACTCAATCTATTAACTCAGATTAAATTAAGTTTACCAATTTTTGTGACTTCGTGACACCAAATACTAGTCGAGGTTAGGTTAGGTTAGGTACAGTACATGCACTCGATCTATTAACTCAGATTAAATTAAGTTTACCAATTTTTTGTGACTTTGTGACACCAAATACCAGTCGAGAAGTGATTGGCAGTCCGATTTATTCATGTAGGACCATTATTTAACTTCATTGCGGCTACATTTGGGTAATTAGTCGGACCCTATAAACGTTGCCTTGGTCTTTTTATATTAGTGCACCATTCTATTGAACATAACCTAATCGGTGGGCTCTGCCCCCCTGCACCCCTCTCCTCCTGATTAGGTTAGGTTTGATTAGTTTTGGGTAATTTTCTGTTTTTTTACACATACAATCTCTCCTCGACTTACAACGGGTTTCCACCCAGACGACCAGGTCGTAAGTCGAAAAGGCGAAAATTATACATAGAAATTCTAAATTGGGTGTCTCTTTTTCTTCTCAGCACCATGAGAAATACGCTTGCCAGCCATTTTAAAGGGAATTACAAATGAAAATTTTGTCAGTACACAACGCGATCACCAACGTCTGGAATTGAAAATACGAAATGTGAAAAATATTTTATACGACCATGGCCGTCGTAAGTCGAATATGTCTTAAGTCGAGGAGAGACTGTATTTCTAATGCCCAAAGAAAGAACAGTGCACTACAATAAATTGAGTGTCGCCTCTTTTATAATGATAAGAACATCTGTGAAAAAAAATGATGCTAATTATTGATGACTGTCCCGCAGCCAATTATTCATAGAAAACGATTATAAAAATGCCGTATTTTCAGTGTTTTATAGTGGACACTGTCGTAGTTTGGGAAAATGTGTTAAAAATGGTGATTTCTAAATTAAACCAAACCTAACCTAAGTTGATATGAAAAACAAGCAGTAAAAGTGTTGTTAGAACACCCCACCAAACAAACCTACATAACTTTACCTAACTTCCTAGCTGGGGGCTTCAACCCCAGGAACCCCCCCCCCCTGGTATATTAAACAGAAAGAACTTCCAGTACTATGATATGGTGTAATTTTACTTTTTTTTGTGGATGTGAGAGCAGGCACCAAACGGTTCATAAGCCCTGGCGGCAGAGTGTTTTGAAATATGTCGATATGATTGGCTGTTTACATCCTGGGATGAGACGTCACCGCCGCATTACCACCGAGAAGACACAGTAGTGCGCATCTAGGTGCCTAATCTCCCAAATGAAGTATTTGCACAAGAAATGATTATCATATCAGAACTCACTGATGAAAATACAGTAAGAAAATAACTGAAACAAATAACTCATCCCCGGGTCATTCGTCAATACTGTATTAACCAAAATTACCAAAATCGAACAGCTCCTGGTTCGATATGTTTACAGCTACACAACAATCGACTCGCGGTGAAATAAATGTCAAATGCCACCAGAGTCACGTTTACATATCATTCTTACGTTTTTCACTGTAAAATAGTGTTAGTAGGAATTTAGCCCACCAAGACAAAATATCCAGTGGCTTTTTCTTTTGTGTATAAGTGACATAGTCTGCAAATGCTTTCTTGTAACTTCAAATTTGTCGCTGAAAATACAGGTACAGTAGTTGGTAATTTATGAGGAAACCGCTACCATGAGAAAACGTTTATGGATTTCCTTTGTATTTTTGCTTACTTGTTGTTTGGTGATTGTAAGTACAGTAGTTTAGAGAGTGACAATTTGGTAATGTATGAGAACACCGCTATCACTAGAAGTTGTTTGATTTAGTTAATTGTTGGCGAATAATGATGATTGCGCTGCCGACGCGTTATTTGTTTTCATCTTTATATTCTTACTATATATTATCCTAAAATACTTAGAAAGAACACGAAACAAACCTTTGAAAACCTTGCCTAACGTTTCTTAACTTGTAAAAATGCTAAGAATCACTTTTGAGTTTATGGATCCCTCCTCATCTGAGCACCAAGAACAACACCATCACTTACTAAACCCGAAAACAACGCCATCACCTTTTATACACCAAAAACATGAATAAGGTAAACTTTATATGATTTTACAATTTTTAAATGTTAGGAAATGTTAGGTCAGGTTTTAAAAAAGTTTGTTTAGTGTTTTTTTTTTTTTCAAGTATTATACCACTCATTTTCCCTCTACTTCAAGCCTGGCCCACTTTAAACACATACCGGGTAATGTTGTTGGTGATTTTATTGGTTAAAATACTGTACTAAAAAAATAAAAATTTCTGATGGAACCGCTATAGAATAAATTATTTTCAATGTTTTTTTTCTCTTTCTCCCAATGCAGTATAAGACTTTATATATAAGCACTGCAGGTGTTGGCACCTTCTAAATATTTGCCTCAGTAAGTTCTAATATTATGATTTTTGTTTTTTTGGGGGGGGGGTTAGGTTAGCTTAATTTAAGGTTATGTTATGGCAACTTGATGTGATGTGATGATGCATAATAAAGTGAAATAACAGTAGTGGTGAGTAGTGATGGGCCAGCAAAGAGTAGTAGAGACTTGAATTTGTCTCCTTAGACTGTCTCTACGATCCTCAACACAGGTACAGTAAATAAGTTTCAATTTATGATTATTTAAGGCTATTATGTGTACTTTATAAGTCTGCTTTAGTTTCTTGTTTGACAGTGTGCAGTACAGAGATATATCAAGGGTAGATGGGAGTTTTTGGAGGGTGGCTGGTCCCTAAACCCCTGAATTTGTCATGTTCTTATAGGATTAATTGCTTCAATAGCCGTTAATTCACCAACCAACAACTTTTCCCGGTCCCTTTGTTCATTGATTATTGGGGTACACCTGTAGGTCTGGATCCCCAGTTATGAATCATGCTTCAGCAATGTCATATATTTCTCAATAACATTATTTTCCCTATTGCTACTAATTACAATATAACAAGAAATGTATTTTTAGGCAATCTCCAATCATAAATCTTAAATAAATAGACATTTAAAGCATATCTGTCAATTCTTCCCTGTACCAAATCACCTGCGTCATATCATGTAGGTTGGCTTGGGACAAACTTCTGCTGTTGACTGTACTTTAATCCTAAATTACCTATATACTGTATTTTTATTGCATATCATTATTTGTTTTGGTACTCAGATAAGCAGTAAGCAGCCAGGAAAATGGGGTCAACAGTCAAGTCAGTCGCTGACAAGCTTCGACAGCTGGATGCCTACCCCAAGACTCAGGAAGATTTTCAAATTAAGACCCTCTCAGGAGCTGCTGGTCAGTTCTTTTTTTTTAAATTATAGGTAATAACAGATAGCTTATGAAATAGTGGTGTATATATAACTACATTAAACTTTTCCTTATGTGATATTCTTGGAACCAAGACATTCTGAATTCTCAGTCATAGTTTCTTGAGAGTATTAATGAACAGACCAATTTTGACACCTTTTTGATGTTATGTTTAGAGTAGAATATTAATACAAACAAGATGGAAGAAAAGCCAGATTTTTTATATATTTACCCATTTAAATATAATCTAATCTGCATGTAAGGTCTATGTATATTGTATACCTGCATACTGAATTGTATAAAGGACATTATCTGCATTTTCTAGATACTGTACATGCATAATCAGGTGTAGAATTCTTTGATGATTTTATTGAATATACAATATATCTTTCCCTACTGGGTATCTTTCAAATCATCATAGAAATGAATAGCTAACACACTTTATGTACTTTACTTTTATTTTACAGTGGCCATTGTGGCGGGCATAATCATGGCATTGCTCTTCCTTTCGGAGCTTTACGACTACCTCACACCAAAACTAGCAGAAGACCTGTTTGTTGACACTACAAGAGGAAGCAAACTAAGGATCAACTTAGATGTCATTTTTCCCAATATTCCCTGCAACAGTGTGTATTATTGCTCTAAAATGCTTATTGAGTAAAACTCCCAACATCTGTAAATATTTATAGCTTCCTATCACTGTCTGTACAATATTACAGGCACTTGAGGGTATAAAATAAAGACTATATTTTATATTGATGTAAATGATAAATTATTAAAGTAAATTTATACACTTTGGAGAATATATGATAGAGAGCACCCCTTTTATATATGAATTATTGATACTGTACAGATACCTGTACAGGTAGTAAATTAGTTATATTTTGTTTTAACCTCTCAGTACTTGAATCACATAAATTTTCAGCTGCTAATTGCAAGTTGCTATTTGATTTTTGTTAATATCACAGTATTTATTTAATAATTTACTTTATTATTTTCAGTGTTGAGTCTAGATGCCATGGATTTGAGTGGGGAGCAACATGTTAACATTCACCACAACATATATAAGCGCAAACTTGACTTAGATGGCCGACCTATTCAAGATCCAGAGAGACAAGAACGTAAGTTGAATTGCCCTGTAATATTTTCCTTTCTTTGCTGTCTAAACTGCTTGTGGAAGGGTTAAATAAACCAATACAGTCAACATCTGCTTAATGTATGTGATTTGTTCCAGAAAACCTGTATGGTATGTCAAGTGAACATACAGTATGCTAAGCTGGCACTGAATTTGGAAACAAAACTTTTACTTTTTTTTTTTTTTTATGAATACAGCCACTCCTCGACTTACGATCTACCGTACTCGACATACAGCCATCCGGACATACGGCTGCCCCAGTCGTACCAAAATTTTTTCAAATTTTTGAGTCCCGACGTTAGTGATTGCGCTGTGTACTGACCAAATTTTCGTTTGTAATTTCCTTTAAAATGGCTGGCATGCTTTAAAGTGAGAGTTTTCTGGTGCTGAGAAGAAAAAGAGACACCATATTAGATTTTCTATGTATTATCTTCGCATTTTCGACTTACGACCTGGATTTGGGTCCCTAACCCCGCCGTAAGTTGAGGAGACGAGACAGAATTGATTTCGTTGTTTACAAAACCAGTGACTGAGTGGTTCTTCATATAAAACAAGAAAATAAGACCCTGGTTGTAGCTGTAGTAAAATTAATGTAATAAATTAATATGGTTGTTTTAAGTACAGTAATGTTATTTAATGTTAATAAATGGAACAATGGAAGTAGCAAACCATTATTGGTAAAAAAAAAGTGAGATCGTGTATGTAAGTGAGCTCATGTGAAAACATATCATCATTACTCTACATAAGAATATGAAAGCAACACTTATTTACTATTCACATATATATTTCAATTAATGTTTCTGAATTTAAAACAAAAATTCTACCCACCAGTGGTGGTAAAGTTGAAAACATAAAGACAGCCAATGTTGTTGTGTGTGTTTTTACTCGGATGACGAAGTTGCCAAGCCATCGGGTTCAACTCTAGCTAAAACTGTAGAACATAAGAACTTTTCTGTGTTGTTTTTAGTTTTTATTTAACTTTATCTGTGTTATTTTTGTTGGTTTATTAGGATGTTGCTTTACTCGAGGCAGTAATTCGTCAAAAAAATAGGTTAAATAAGGCAAAATTTAGCCAAACTTCAAAAGTACCAGACTCAAATTAATTTTCTCCATGGGCAAACTAAAATCGTTCCGGACCACGGGAGTTTCCGGACCACAGAATGCCGGACTAGAAAGGTACAACCTGTACTGTATATTCCTAACAACGTTATTTGGTACCTTTTGAGTGATACAAGATGGTTCGATTTGGCTTCTCATACAATAAGACAGCCGATTAATAAATAAACCTTGGTATATGCAGGTAAATAAAACACTACAATATTATTTATTAATTGCTGATAAATACTCTACAATATTGTATTTAATAAGTGCTGAAGACAGATGTTGTGGTAAGTATGATGACATGGTGAGGGATGGTGTGGGCAATCAGCTGTTTGCACTGCAGATATGTAAACAAAGCTGCTGGGAATTTAATATGATGCAATAACTCAATCTAGGGTTAAGTGTGGTATTTTTTCACGGGGAAATTGATTATTTTACTCGGCATAAAATAAACCTAAATAATACTGCTTGGGAATTATGGTCCCATGTTCAGCATGGGATGCTCTCACCTCTCAGATGCCTGTGTCAGCAACTCAACATCTTCCAATGGTATGAAAAAATACTATTTTTTTTTTCATAAAAGTACGGTTTTCATTCGTATGCCGAAGCACTGGAACAAAGTAAAATTTGCATTAGTTAATTTTTTGTAAATTGAAGCACTCTATTATTTGATAAGAAACATTAATACAAAACTGAATATGTAAAATGAACACCCGAAATATGATTCATAACTTGAAATTCCGTGACACGAGTGTGTTAATGGTGTGTGGGTGGAGCTGTGTAGTTAGTCAGAGAATATGACTTGAGGTTCTGGACTGGAGTACTGAGAAGGATGTACACTAATTTTATATTTTGTCAATACAGAATTTTTTAGATTTGGGAAAAAATATATCTACATAGCTTGGAAATCTTGAAGTAACCTGTGTAAATTCCATTATATAGGTACAGTGGGGTATGCTATAACGAACGGATCCTACTACGAATATTCCTACTGTATAACAAACGGTTTTACCAATAAAATTGAGAATGCTATAACGAACGAAACTCCTACAACGAACATTATTTATTTATTTATTTTATTTTATTTTATTTTTTTTTACTAATTTATTGTTTTTTTATTACAAGTATTAATGATATTCTTTATTTCAGGGGTTTAGATGCATATTTATGCACTTTTTTACAATTTTTACAATTTTATATTATATTTTTCAGTGTTAAGTGGTTGTATTTGGGGGCCTGGAACGGATTAATCCTATAACGAACGAATGCTATAACGAACAAGGTTCTAGAACCAATTAGATTCGTTATAGCATACCCCACTGTAATAGAAAATACATTCCTACAAAAAAATAATATATAAATCTTCCCCCTCGACACAATAAAATGGCACTGAAGACAGAAGGCCATACTTAACCCTTAGATGGTTACCAGCCCTCCCTTTTTACATTGAAACATAAGTAAATATTTTTCTCGCTGTGGAGCTAAAATATGAGTCTTAAAGATATACATTAGCATAAATGAACAGCTGGCAAGGCAGGGTTGTAGCAGCTGAGTGGATACAATGCTCACCTCGTGTCCAAAGGGTCGCTGGTCAGTGATTATTTTATCCAGGTGTACATAGGTACGTACTCGGCTTTATTGTTGGGGAAGTGAAAGTGGTGGAGAGCAGTTCTAGCCACACTGACTTCATGTGTACTGAAAGCTTGGTGTTTAGTGTAAAGTATCCATATTGCCCCGAATAAATCATTAGGCTTATGAGAACCACTGTCACTAATTCAGTCATATTTGCCCATACAGGGTAATAGGGTATATGTATCCTTCTTTATTTTGTATATCACTATTTATTTTGCCAGTGTCTTCAGTCTTTCCTTCATAAACCTGCCCTCTTGCTTATAATTTCCCTCTAATTTTACAAAAGGCCAGTGCATTGTACAGTATAACATTTCTTGGTGGTTTCTATATGTCTTGTGTTCCTTAGGTTTTAGATTTATATAATTATTTACTTTTGTGTTTATTGATTTCTTGCATGTGTTTTAGGAATTGGTCATGCAGTAAAGGAAGATGTGAACGGTACTCAAGAAAACAATGTCGTACAAACAACAGCAGCCCCAAAGTGTGGAAGTTGTTATGGGGCAGAGTCTGAAAAAGACCAGTAAGTGAGATGTTCATATTATTGTAATGGTGCAGCTAATATTTGCTGTTGTTGTAATAGAGCAACCCGTGTCATAGCTAGGGTAGGGTGGGAGGGGCAGCTGGTTGGAGAGTGCACTCCAAGAGCTAAGCATAGGTCTTCTTTATATTTCAGCACTTGACTGAAATTTTAGCATGCTGCTTCTTTGGTAAAAATTATTAAATCTTATGATAGTTAAATTTTTATCTTTTGTCATTCTTAGATAAAAAAAAAATTGACTTATTTTACCTGATTTTATTTATATATAATTTTCTAATTATTTTTCCAGTTATTAATACTGATATGTTTGCAGTGAGAAAGTTGTATGCATTTCTGATGTTGCTTACTCACACTTGCAGATGCTGTAACACTTGTGAAGATGTTAAGGATGCATATCGCACTAAAGGGTGGGCTTTGCCACCTCTGAAAAACATAAACCAGTGTGTGAAAGAAGGCAAATTAGTAGAGTCATCTGAACTGCCTGATGAAGGGTGTCAGATATATGGCTACTTGGAAGTGAACAGGGTAAGAAAACAAAAAAAAATTTCATGCTATAATTGTAAAAGATTCTTGTATAGTATGTATTTTATTAGTACATAGTCACCGTAAGTTCAATAAATTAAGAATTTGTGATATTTTTGTATTTTTAAAAAGTACACCATTGTAACTTTTATTTTATTACCTTCAGTTGGTGAACTTGTATTAGGAAAACTTTTTTTTTTTTTTTTTTTTTTGTAGAGGGGTGTGGCTGGTTAGTGGATACTGTACAGTGCTTGTGTCCTTGGGCACTTCCAATCCACCCGACTGGTGGTGGGTACACTCGCTCCAAAAGTCGCTCCTTATGATTTTGTGTGAGAAAATATGACACAACAAATGAAGGATTTTGATAAGCCTACTGAGATAACAGGAGTTACGTTGTTCATTTTTGTACCTTTTGGAGCGAGTGTTTCTAAATTTATAGTTTGGGAAGTGAGGACAGTCAAGTGCAATGCCAGTCATGCTGCCTCCTTGTGTAGTGAAGGCATAGAATATAGTGTGTTGTATCCACACTGTCCTTACTGGGCCATCAAGCCTCTGGTATTGACTTTTACTTTTAGCGCTATTGTAATAATAATATTAGTCTTTTTGTTCCAGCATATAGAGTTTTTGTCCCTCATATGTTCATTTATAAGTATATAAGGAAGAGCGAGACAGCAAACAACATACATACACAATACAATTTATTATAATCAGAAATAAGAAATAAGAAAATACAGTAATCTCCCTGTTAGCCAAAATAATTTATGCAGAGTGGTTCCAGGTTTGAGACATTTCCAGGTACTGAGATGAATTTTCTCATCCCCTGAAAAATCTTACATCCTCGGAATATTTCCAGGTACTGGTGAAAGTTTTCTAAGAGTCTAAACCACTCATCGCGCATGGAACGGTTTAACTGCAGTCGGACAGACACAGAGCTGTATTTATTTATTCAAACACCACTGTACATATACCTGTACAATATATTGTAAATAAACAGAATATACTACTGTATATACTCTACTGTACTCACCAGCAAATGCTGTCGGCTTGGGCTTGTGATGCAAGCAGGCCAACTGGTGATATGATGATACAGAATGGTCTGCTTTGTCCTATGTCATCTGCTGTGACAGTTTGTACTGTAACTCTCCACTCCCTCCATGAAGGAGAGAGGCAACTCATGAGTAACATGAAGGATTTCCACCACTGATGAAGTGCTGGTTTGTGATGATGGACAGGATGATGAGGCATGTGGTGGTGGTGATGGTAAAGGTGGTAGGTGTGCAATCTTTGACGGTGAGGGCTGTGTGTTGGCACCAGAAACACTGTCACCAGTGATACTAGGCAAGCTGCCATAGGAGACAGCACGAGGGCACCTGGGGACTGGAGCGAGGACCTTGGGGAAGTGGTCCCCAATCTTATGCTTTTTCATCTTGGTCCTCTCTCGAAGGTTCTAGTAAAAGGGGAGAAAGCAGAGGATATCAGTGGTGGCCATAAAATTCAGCAAAACATCCAGGTGTGAACATGCCTCTCTGAAACTGGTGGTTGGAACTTCCTCCACTTCTTTTCTGTCATCCTCTTCCTCCTCCTGTCCTTTATAGGACTTGATGACACCAGCTGCTATTTCTTCCTGGGTGAGGGCACCATAGCCAGGATTGTCGGCATCCACCTGCAACCACTCGCCCATATCCTCCTCGGTAACAGCAGTGTCATCACCGTCATGGAAAAGAGTGTGGGCCTCTTCCACTTTAAAGTCCTCGAAGTCCACATCATCATGCAGTAACAGAGCTTCTGCAGCACCACCACCCCCCCATTCAAGAGCTTCTTCCACTCATTCCTCAGTGCCATCTCTGTAATCTTGTTCCAGGCTGTCTTGAGGTTGAACACTGCATCCCAGATGTTGTCCTTGTTGTTCTTCATTGTCCTGGTCCCCTGAGTGTCTTCCTTCCCCTCTGGCATTGGTTCCACCACCAAAAAATTATTTAAAAGGAGGCGTCTCAAGTGATGTTTGCAGACCAGGATGATGTCTTGGTCCATGGACTGTATGAGTGAGGTGGTGTAGGGCAGCAAAAATTTCATTTTGATGCCTCCATTAGCCCTTGATGGTGGGCAGGTGTATTGTCAAGGATGAGCAAGGCCATGCAAGACCTCTTGCATGGCAATGTCATGGACTGTCATTTAGAATTGTCTGACTGCCTGGACAAAAACATAGTGGAACCAACCTTCAAATGTTTCCCGGGTGAATCTGGCTTCTTTGTTATTGCACCAGGACACAGGAAGATGATCCATGGAATTGTGCAGCATTCTAGGCCTCTGGGTATTTCCCACCAGCATGTGTGCAGCATTGGTACACAACCGCACTAACACACACTGCTTGCTGGCCTTGAGTCCAGGGGTGCTACTCTCCCTCTGTGATGCAACAGTGTTGATTTGTTGATTGGTAGGGCCTTCCAATAAGGGCCTGTCTCATCTGCATTATAAATTTCATACATCTGATTGTCATTTTCACGGATGACTTGTTGCAGCTCCTCTCTGAATGGCTGGACATTCACCACATCAGCAATAGCACTCCTACAGAGACAAAACAAGTGATCGTGGGCCCTTCGTGCCCGATGAAAGTTTGAATGCTCATGCTTGGCTAGCGTACAGCGAATGAGGGTGCGCCAAGTCAATAGACTTGCATCGTTTTCCAGCGTAAATAAAATGGTTAATTAATGCCTTCCTAAAGAAACCATTGACATGGGACCAGGTTTGTTCCACTCTTCAAATTTTTTGGCGATTTTTCCACCAAGTTTGATGAAAAACGATACACGGCTATTCCTATAGTATATTAGATTACAGTGTTGCTTAAGAAAGCTGTGAATACCAGCCGTATACAACAAGGGGATCTGATCATCACTGAAAATGGGAAAACATTTTCACATCCAATTTAAGACTTAAGGGAGTTGTTTTAAGCTGTGATTGAATTACTGTAATCTTCTTTTTTATTTACAGTGTAGAAGTTCTTCACAAACCAAAGTAAATATACTCCTGTGTTATATTGTACACTCTTCAACACATTCCAGACTTTTTATTGTTTAGTAGACAATGCAGATACAGCGATCTCCTCCAACACTACTTTCAGGTGATAATTTTCAAAGTGAATGTGAAGCTGTGGTTCATGCATTGCTGTGCTTTGTCACCACAACTGCTTCTTTGTATTAAGTAAAAGAAGCACTGTATTTAATTTAGTCTTTGTTTTCGGGTGGGTGGAAACTTTGTCACTGCTTATGTCTCACTGTATTATTGATAAAGGAAGAGTGTACAGTACTTATTTCAGTCTTTATTTTCAGGTAGGTGGAAACTTTCACCTTGCTCCTGGCAAGTCATTCCAACATAATCATCTACACAGTAAGTTTGATCTTGCAAGTCACAGAAATATTCAGGTAATATACAATACATTTTAATGGGCTTTTTATTCAATATACTCCACACTACTACTTTATTCTTATGTGCTAGATTAATTTCAGAAGGACTTGATTTTGTAATACCACTAACTTCTCAGGTTTTGGAGAATCCCTCAAACTTACCTGAATGTACTGTATGACCATCACTGTCACTTTATTTATGATATAGAAAGCAGTGAGTTTTAATGCAATTTTTGAAGAAAGGAAAACCAGGAAATGCGGATGTGTTATGAACTTTTATTTTCTGAATTACAGGGTAAATTACAATAGTTGATCACTTATACAATGTAAGTGAAGGAAATCATGCAGTAGAACAAAAATGACTCAGTTTAAAGGAGAAGTTATAAGATGGTTATTGATAATGATCATTATTATTAAGGTTACTAATTTAAACCCAGTATTTTGCACTTGTCTTAAAATTCATACAAGATGTTTTGTTTAGCTCATCAACTTTTATCTCATAACAGTCTCAAACATTGTATTTTCCCAGTTTTATTTTTGTTGAAAAGCTGACTGGGTCACTAGAGTTGTGGCCACCTCCTGGCCTATGCTGTACTTTCTGGGCTGATGTCCTGGGTTTAGGCATAGGAGGGGGAAGGGGGCACCCTGATCTGGTTTTACCCAACAGTTGCCATAATGTAATCACAGCTAACTCACACCAGAGTGGAAAATGGTTGTAAAGCGTTGATGATTTTGGTGATGAACACCACAGCAGCTATGATAGAAATTAACCTTAATACAGATAATCATATTTATTGCTGGATTAGGTTTTAGAGGCAATTATTAATTAAACTGTGTGTAAATGATGTTGAAAACCTCCCACACCGGCTAGGTATGAAAAAGTATATGAATAGGTGTGTCAGAAATGAGGTACTTTTTGTTTTCAGTTCACGATGTACAACAGTACAGAACAGCAGACTTTGACCTCTCCCATCGTATCCGGCACCTAAGTTTTGGTGTGAACATACCTGGGAAAACAAACCCCATTGATGGCACAGAACTTAAAACAGAGAAAGGACCAAAAACAATTAACTACTACATTAAGATAGTCCCCACCACATATGAAAAAGTTGATGGGTCAACACTTTCTACGAACCAATTTTCAGTGACCCAGCATCAGAAGGTAAGATTACTTGAAAGCTCTTCTTCCTAATTTTTTTTTTTGCTGTTTAATGAGATGGATGTGAACTATAACATCAGTAGATAGGAAACCCTGTACAGATCTAAGAGGGCAGCTATATATTGAGAATATTGGCAAGGTTTTTTTACAGAGATAAGCTGAGATGGTGTTGGCATGTGGAGAGAATAGAGGAGAACCAATTGAGAGAGACATGAATCTAAATGTGGAGGGAGTAGGCCAAGAATTGCATGGGGAGAGGTTGTAAGAAATGCTATTAGAGCTAAGAACCTTATGAGAGAGGCTTCAAGAGACCATGCAGCAGAGAGGTATGATAAGGTAATTGTGGCTAACCTATGCAGGTGCAGAGAATTGCCATAAAATGATGATGATGAATTGTGAATGACTTTTTTTTTCCTTTAGAACATTCAGATGGGGATGGGTGAAACAGGACTTCCAGGAGTGTTCTTCACTTATGAATTGTCACCTATGATGGTCAAATATACTGAGAAACACAAGTAAGTGAAACTTAATCACTAGTATGACTGCTTGACTTTCACTGCCTGAATCAGGGGTAGTAACTGGGCCCTTTTAATCACCTCTGTCTTATCTTTAATGAGTTGTTATTTTATATTTTTTTTCTTCCCAGCAGTTTTACTTATAACTTTTTAACCACATTATGAATTATGTCTCGAAGTTTTTTATCTAATTTGTGTGTCTTATTCTGATGTTGCCAGAAGATTGAAAGATCCAGCATAATACAATAAGTTGAGTGGACTGGCAATCTCTTTAATGCCCTCAGAATAAACCTTTACTTGTGTTTGGTTATCATGTTTTGTTTTAGTCTCTCCCTATTGCATGCTATTTTTAAGAGTTCCTTACTTGGATGATGAATACCAAATGGCTACCAAAGTTATGTATTCAAGATTATTAGTTGAGACCACTAAGTTTGCGACCGAGACCTGCATCACTTACATGTAACTTATACTGTACTTATATTTCTGTATGAGGTTCTGAGTGTGACTGTGTTTCCTCTTCGGCAGATCTCTTGGACATTTCTTGACTGGAGTTTGTTCAATCATCGGTGGTGTGTTCACTGTGGCGGGGATTATTGATTCCATCATCTATCATTCCCATCGTGCGCTCCAACGTAAAATTGAAATTGGAAAGGCAACGTAGAATAACATTTGATTTTAGGTTCTACATGCAGGTACAGTTGTGCTCTCTGAATATTTTAATATTTACTCATCATGATTAATTTGAGGACCTTGTGCATCAGTATTTTAGTTTAAACTTTTTTCTTTACAAAGAAATATCAAACTCTATCAAGATTTATTATAGCAATACAAATCAAATGTCTTCAGTATATTGTTATTTGTGTAGTATATATTTTAAATGATAAAATTATTGAAACTTTACAGCATGAAGAATCAGATCTATATGACCCACTTTCGTTTTTTACAATATTACGAGTGGAAATATATGTGTGTATGTTAACAAAGAAAGTAATGAAAGATGAATTCAAATTGTCTCCTCTATATTTGTAGGGCTGGTCATGGGACATCTTGGGCTGTAATGCTACAGTGCCCATGCCTAAGGAATTCCCACTTTTCTCAACTGTGATGGGAAAGGATGTAGGAAATGGGAAAATTGTTTGCCATGTGCTATGTCCTTTTCAAGTCTAACATAAAGAGCACAGTCAGCACACATCTTCAATGTCTATTCTCATGAGTATTACTTTATTATGAATTTACTTAATATCTGCTGGAGCATTTCACATAATTTTTTTTTCTCCAAATGACTCAAAGTATTATGATTATATAGAGATACTGTATAAGATTTGTTGCGATTTAATATATTTCTTATTTATTAAGGCTACAATATACAGTACATACCAAGATTGTTACACTTAAGATGCTATCTGTCAAATATTCTGTTTTAAATTCTTTCAGCATGGCTTTCAAGAAGGCATTTTTTGTAGTAAGAATTCTAGGGTTTTACAGGAATAGCTTGGAAATGTTAGTGATGTATTGTGTGAAAAGCTGTTCCTCATTGTTTTATTTTTTCATACTACTGTATGGGAAAATTCATTTTTTTTTTTATGGAATGAATCTGATGTATACTGTATATATTTGAAAATTGAATATTTAATACTTGAAACCCTGTGTAACCTCAGATTTGTCATTTATGAGAGTCACTGATTACGTTATATATCAGTTTTATTTTTATTATTTTTAATTGTTTATTGAAGCCAGTGAATTAAACTTGTCTGGAAGGAATCTTCATTTTATGAATGGCAACCCAGTTAGAAATAGTGGAAAGTGACTGTTGAGAGATTTTGATGTCTGGAGGGTGGAAAATGGCTGTAAAACTTTGATGACAATGTGATAAGGAAAGATCTGTAGATATAATATTTGTCTTCTCCCTGGCACTTAAAATCTTGGTGTTGGTTCTTGTGCAATGATAAAGTTGTCTGTCTTTTTATTATGAAGGAATGTGTTAGGAGACTGGTATATTCTCTGTGGTGGAAAACTTTTCCCTGAATTTGTTTGGAGTAATTGATTTGTTTTTTGACTGTTACATATCAATTTAGTGTCTTAGAATAAATTATCTGTGGAGATGTGTGCTGACTAAAGTGTATAGAGAAAATTTCTCTTCAGTCCACTTTATTTTAAATGTGAGAAGTTACACAAGAAGATGTGTAATAGTGGAGCGACATAGCAAATCTATTGTGCATTTTGTGATAAAGGTACCAAAATTGGCACACTTATTGACTTAGATAATGAAGAAATCTGGATATGGTGCCACTGCATATTTTGCCCCCGACAACCGTGGCAGGCATTTTCCAAAATGGTGGTCAGAAAACTATGGTGGCATCCAGAAAAGTCACTTCAAGACTTATTGCTGGACTAAAATAGTCGCAGTTGAAATAATCAGGTGCTAAAAGACAAGGACAAAGAAGATAAATAAAAATTAAACATGGTTTTATTACGTCATTGGTGAATACAGTATGTGAATTTGCAAGTAGAGTGAGTTGTGGAGCAGTATTCACCAATCTGGGAAGTCAATGATGGGAGCACAGTTCTTCACACACACACAGACACACACACACACACAGTACTGTGCATTCAAGTGCAGCCTTTTTGCACTTGCAGCCCTTCACACATCCCTTCTTGCATCTGCACGAGACTAGCTCACAACAGGTGTGGGCAGCTTCAGGTAGTGTCATCCAAAACGGCATGTACAAGCCTTCTGCATTCTTCATCCAGTCCCAGCTGGTTGGTGGAGGCAGCTGTGGTGATGGTACCAGGGTTTGGCCCCAGACATGAACCCCCTGGTAGGCTGCCCTTTTGACATGCTCCTCTAAGGCTGCCTTTATTGGTGGGATAACCTGCACATTTTTCTTTTGGGCGAATAGGTTCCTTCATGCCTTGTTCATGTCCATGCATGAGCTGGTTCTGTCATGCAGGAGGATAACGAAGCTCCTGATGAGGTGCATGATATCCTCTGGTATGACTTTTGATGCAGCAGAAAGCTTCAGCAGTGCCTCTGTCAGATCTGGGTAGACAGCCCATATTGCCCAGGCAGTCTTTTTACCATGACCAGAAAAACTGGACACAGTGTCGCACCCTGTCAGGGCATGGAACATAGGCAGTGCTCGCGTCTTCTCTGGTCTCAGACATGCTGCCATTTTGTGGGCTGCAAGATAGCGGAAACTCTTGCCAGTGCCAAATGCCACTCACAGTTCATCTTCTTTGTGAATCCCTTGGACCACTGAGACAGCCAAAACCATGACAACTGTGTCCACAGTCCGGATCAGCATCTTATGGTGGCCATGCTGGGCTGCAGCAACATGCGACTGTCTGCTTCTTCGTGATTGCATGGGGCGATCGATGCCAGATCAGGGAGCACTAGCTTGCTAAGGACTGCCTGTCCATCGGTGATGACAAGCTGCTTGTCTTCCTTGTCAAACCACGTGAGGAGGGGGTCTGACAGGAACTTGAACAGCTCTGTCTTGTTGCTGTCCACCCTGAGGAAGTTCTGCCAGTTTTCTGGTATGGTAACTGAACCCACCACACGTTTGCGGACTCCTTGTCCACATTTTGCTCTCGTTGTACATTACAGTGAATGAGCAACATACCTGTCAAACACCAGGTCAAGCCGTGATGCAGTTTGAAGCTTTGTTGACATACATGGGATGGAGACCTCCTGGGCATATTCCTCAAAGTCCTTGGCTGCTGCTGGTTTGAGCATCTGGAGAACTACACTGGTGGCAGGAGGAGCTTCTGTTTGGGCAACAGAGAGATCCCCTAAGCATACAAGGAGGTCACTCTTCGTACATAGACGGACGCTACCTCCAGCAGAGAGTGCAGGAGGACATGCTTGATTTTTGTGGCGAAAGAATTCTTCAAGGTTTCCATCCCTTGTCTGACAGCCAATATACAGTTGCGAGAAAAGGCTCACGTCATGCTTGAGAGAGGCCAGCTGCTCCTTTCCTTTGCTTCCCTCACTTGAGATAGAAGCACTGAACACCTTCAGCCTGTTTCGATGAAGAATAGTATCGACAGACTTGGTTCCTTCCATCAGACGTTCTCTGGTGAAGGTCTGGAACTGGTCTTGGCCAATGCTCTTTGCATTTCTGACAGTCTCAGCTACAGAAGAACTGGCAATCTCCTTGGTGTGAAGGGCCACCAGATCCAGGCTTTCCTCCTCAAAAGGGTTACCAAGCTCATCTATCACACTGACATCTGAGTGGACATCTTTGATGAATGAAGTTTGCACACTGGGAATCTGGTCATGATGGTATTCATTTTAGTAATGATCACCCCCACCACTACAGACAACAACAACTCCAGTGCATAAATTGTAGCAATCAGACGGTTAACATACTGTTTAATTAGACTAATTAGTTTAATTACTATTATTATTTCTATACAATTATAATAAAATACCCTGTAAGTCACTTAGTAGTTTTAGTTCTTTTGCAGTGAATTAAACTCCACTGTCAACATACACAGTCACACCCAGCGGGGCAATTCAGTAATTGTTAGTGGCCATTTTGGATAATGGTTGCAACGACTGTCAGCAGCTAAATCTGCAGTGGCACCATATCCAGATCTGTTCACTATATAATAATCAACATGTGTGCCAAATTTGGTGCTTTTATCACAAAATGCACAATTGGTTAAAATAGTGAGGTTATGCCTCCCGACTACAAGGATGTGTTGGAAAATTAAATAAGCATACAGCTGCTCCTCGACTTACGACGGGGTTAGGGACCCAAATCCAGGTCGTAAGTCGAAAATACTTAATACATAGAAAATCTGAAGTGGGTGTCTCTTTTTCTTCTCAGCACCGCAAAACTCTCACTTTTAAGCTTGCCAGCCATTTTAAGTGAATTGCAAACGAAAATTTTGTCTGTGTACTGACGTTAGGACTCGAAAATACGTAATTTGACAAAATTTTGGTACGACTGAGGCAGGTCTTAAGTGCGGGTGGTCGTAAGTCGAGTAGGTCGTAAGTCGAGTAGGTCGTAAGTCGGGGAGGAGCTGTAATTGTTATAACTTATTAAGTTCTGTAAAAAAAAAAAGGAATTCTCTTTTCAATCAGTTGAGTGTGTTATGTGTTTCTTCAGATCAGTTGTATAATATGTACAGTACAGGTTTTATAGATACCATGTTATAATTATAACAGTTGTTGTTCTGGGAGGGTTCTTATTAGACAAGGAGAACAGGTGTTAGGGGTGAGAATACATTGATGGGACTGCCCAGTATGGGCCAATAGGCCCGCTGCAGTTTCCTCCATTCTTATGTTCTTATCTTCTTATGTAACATATTTTCTTATTTCAAATGCCAGATTTGAAGACCTTTTACAATGTAGGATACAAAATTTAGATTGCAATCATGTAATCAAGTCTCTGTTTTATGGCATTAATGATAGAATTGTTATAAATAAAAGAGCTCAAAGGGGTAAATAATCATGTCGGTGTTGAGATTTTCATTGTACAATTGCAAGCATAATTCATGGACACTTGGGAATATCGAGCATCATTTACAGGTATTCCTCGCATAATGAATGGGTTTTAGGTTCTAGGAAAACTATTTCTTTTCGGTGAATTTTTGTATCGAATAATATAACAAATAGGAAAAATGGGGTTTGGTTCCCCAATGACAAGAAGACCCTAATATTTATACCCCAAGTGAAATCAGTTCATGAACAACAACAAAAATCTACCTAATGAAAAATAGTGTCCAAATACTGTAACATAGTATCTAACTCATTAAAAACATTAATAAAATACTATCTAGACGAAAATATGCAGCTAAAACCATTAAGTAAAAGCTAAATGAAAGTTTAAGACACTCAACATTTGCATAAGACACTGGCTGCTTGGCCTCAACGCATACCATAGCAATGCAACCCAGCCTCTGTCAAGCTTTAGCAATGGGATGCACACACTGTTCCCCCTCCTCCCCTGCTCAGCACAGCATGTTAACTCTTGCATAAAAAGAAATGTTTATTCCCTTTATGTGTTCACCTTATGATAGTTATTTTATTTTTTATTTTTTGCAGACTTGTGTGTGCATATAGCGAAAAAAAGTGAAGAAAGTTAAGTTTATCTACCCTGTATTGCAAGTTGAAAAGTAACTTATAGTATAGCTCTCCTGCTCAGCCTGCTAACTCTAGATGGTGCTTGAAGAAATGTTTATAACCTTTATGTTTTTTACCTTAAATTATTATTTTTTTTTTTTTTTTTTTTGGGGGGGGGGGATTTTGTTTGTAGGATTGTGTGTGCATGTAACTGAGTAAAAACAATATGCGAGCAGAAAATTAACATCACTTAGTTTACAGCTTAGCCTGGTAGTGAGAGGGCTAGGGGATGTAATTACAGTGACAAGTCTAACTTGGCAACAATGCGACCAGCGATGTTAAGTGCAACACTTAAATAAGCACACCCCCAGCTGTAAATTCAAACAGAGAGGGCAGTCAGGGCTCACCACAAAGGGTTGGGAATGGCGGAATGAAAGATGCGAGGGATACCTGTACTTGAGGTTTCATGTAGGTAAGAAAGATTGGGATTTTAACAGTTATGTACTCTTATTTTTCCGACCAAGTTTATTTAAAAATAACATTGACCATTTGTAAACCAGTATCATATATGAGCCAGAAGCAGATGCCAAATATTACTAAATGCCAAGGGAATTTTGTCCATAAATGCTACTAAGAGGATGAAGTCAAACATGATATACTGTATATATAGCACACTCGGTCTATCTAGAATTTAAAATATAATAGAAGAATATATGAGAAATTTTTTACCACCCAGTGTTTGATTGAAATACTGTTTTGGAAGTCAAGTTTATATTGACACGGGACTGGTTGCTTTTTTAGAACAACTCGGACTGATATTCCCTCTTTTCTTTCTGTGTAGATCACCTCATGGATGTTTGATACTTTTATGCACAGAACTTCAATGAAACAATAATATATTTTTGTAATGTACTCTCTTGGGACATTTTTTAAAGTTCTTACATGTGTTTGCATATTCCTCTGATATGATTGGGGATTTGTTTGATTTCTAGTGTGTTTTTGTAATAATTGTTACCATCTCATTGTAGTCATACCGTACTCATCATTAAGAACAGTGTTTTAAATTGAACAGTTAGGTAAGGATGTATTGTTCACATATTTGACAATCTGGATTTTATTGTAATATTATGAAAATGTTTAAGTTTCTACAATCTTATTACTGTACAGAAATTATCTTCATGATAGGCTTCTTTTCTGCTTGGCTTTCACAGATTATTTCTGTTTTTAGCAACTTGAAAAATATTTGTGTATATTATGTAACAGTTTGGTTGTACAGTATGTCTTCATAAAATCTCCAAACTTCTTAAAATGTAAAACAAGTATAAATTTTATTACAGTAAAATTCCATTTTTAAGAAGTGGTTTATGGGTGAATTCATCGTGTAAAATAGGATTTTCCTTAAAGCTATTCCCTGATATACGAAAGGGTTAGGCTCCATAAAATCTTGTCATCAATTGGAATTCCGTATATTGAACCCGACTTTCCCGTAGACTCCCATTATATAAGTGAAGATAAGTTCCTTCACAACAAAATCTTGACTCTACAATGTAACAATTATACGTAATAACACAGCAGCAAACTTTATTTATACTATCCACAACATAAACACATAATAATGCAGCAATTAAGACAATGGAAGAAAGAGGAGTGTGTGCGTGAGTAATAATACTGTAGAAATTCATGTAAGACATGTCACCAGTCAGCTGTGAGATGACTATGCACTTTGTTATTTTTGTATGTAATGAAACTTTAAAAGTTGTGGAAATGTCATTTCAATACTTGTAACTTAAAAATAAAGAATATATAATATAAAACTATAAAATACAGAAAATGAAGAGCATGGGTGTGTATGTGTGGAGGCAGACTGTACAGTAACTGTATCACCAACCCAGTCCCACTGCCTCCCATGATGTGATGTCAAGTTTTTTATCAAAATTTCCATTACAGCGAGTATTGCTTTCCATTTATCAAATTTTTTCCATAAATTAGTGATTTCCATTACAGTACTGTATAGTGAATTTCCATAAGACGAATTTCAGAAAATCTGGGGATGACTGTATTAGGTTGTGTGCCCTTAGAAATATACTGTACGTACTTTAGTGAAATTCACAAATATGTACGTATACAATTGTTTGATTACAATAACTTATATGTATAGTACATAGAAACTATGGAAAATTTCTGTACATTGTACTGTACATCATTGCACAAAAGTATCTGGTATTACAGGAATGTACTTGAAGGTAAGTAATGTGAAGTATGTTTTTTAATAAGAGTGATAAATTTTTGTACCGATACAGTACATAAAACATTATAACTTTCTTGTACAGTACTTCATTGCACAAACATTTGCTATTACACTGCTTAAAGTTAGGTGTAGTCACACTGATGGTTGACTGTTGATTCACAGGACTTAATATGACATCACAGGCAGCAAACTCTGTCTTTGGGTGTCTTATCCTATCATCCACAAACTTTTGTGTTCACACTAATCACTGCTACCAGTAAATTTTTAGCTACAATAATGAAAAATATCCTAGCAAAATCATGTTTACTGTAAAATTGTCCATATGTTTACTTTACAATAATAGGCTTAATTGAATTTTGTGCATAGCGGCAATTTTGGAACCACGGTGCAAAATTAAATTTTTCCAGCAAGTCACTTTCATTCCGTTAAACTAGCATTGTCAACAAAACGGTACTGTACTATGGTGAACCCTGGGCGGTCTGGATGAGTGTGGGTCCACTGTATGTAAATTTGGGATTCTACTGTAGTTCATCTTTTAAAGTCCTTGATATATTAGAATTCTCTCTTTATTGATATCATGTGTCAGAAAGTTCTGATCACGAACACAATTGAATTGTTAACTGGTCTGAGGAAACAATCAATAAAATGTTTTAAATTTGTTGATCACTTAGTGTATGTACAGGTGCTCCTCTACTTACAAATGAATTACGTTCCTGAGGCTTGTTCGTAAGGCCAATTGTTTGTACGAGTAAGTCCAACTTTACTCTTGTAGATACCAAAAATATTGTAAAAAATGAAAATATAATGGATGTTTAATACAGCCTTAAAACCTGGCTCATTCTTCTCCTCTTAGATAATTTAATTTATGTTCTACAGGGGGGTATTTGGAATTTTCTTGAAAATAATCCAGTCTCAACACCTGCTCTGGAAGGAAACCCTCCTCAATGATTATGTTTGTATCTCTGAAAGTTTGTAAGTCGAATGTTCTTAAGTAGAGGCGTACCTATATATAGTGCAGTACTGTAGTTTTGTTTTATTCATATTTAATATACAGTATTTAAATTATAAGACTTTTCTGATGAAACTAAAACTTGTTCTGTAGTTAGTTTACAATTCTGAACAGTAATTCATTTCTTTTTTTCTTTTCTTTTTTAAATAAGTTTGAGGATAGATTGAAGTCATGTTTCCTTTCTTTAAAAAAAAATATATATATTATATATATAGTATATATATATATATATATATATACTGTATATATATATATATATATATATATATATATATATATATATATTATATATATATATATATATATATATATATATATATATATATATATATATATATATATATATATATATATATATATATATATATATATATTACTCTTTCAAACATTAGAATATAATGTTGATAGAGAAATGTAAATATTTCAGAATATTAAAAAAAGTATTTCTAGTTTTGAGCATCTCAAAATATCATGTCAAAGTATATGGGATGAATTAAAACAATCGTGCAGTAATA